TACTACACCCTAAAAGACTTTCTAAAATACATAACCAAAAGAAATTATAGCTTTTTGTGCTTCAAAATGGTGTCATGGTTTAAATGATTAGATCTAAACCTTGATTGAGTTTCCTCTCTTGTACATGTGAAAGAAGTTGACTTTTTGATTATTTTACATCAATTTTTTTTTTTCAATTCTGGTTTGAAAAGTTTTAATATAAAAGAAAGATGACACAATTAATTACTCAAAAAAATTTTTTTTTTAGTCCATTTAAGTCATTTCTTTAAATCTAAGCCAAAAATGAATTTTTATATACAAGTTTTCTTCCAAAAATATTAGATTTTGAAGTAATCCTATTTTACCTTATTTTGTTGCACTTCTCACATCTGATATGAATTTTATTAATATTGTTTTAAAAATTATAAAACACAATTACACATTCAAAGTTAGTAAATCAGTTGGTCGGTTTTGATAGTTTTTCTTTACTTCAAAATATTATTATTTGCTTCGTATTATATATTTAAAAATATATAAATATATGTTGAGTGGTGAATTGACTGTAAAATGTCTAAACAATATCTGTAATTTGTTGATAGACAAACTGATTTGAACTACAAATAGTATCAAACTTTTTCTACAATTTATTTTTAGCAAAGATAAGTGAAGTTCATTGATAATTTAAAAACAGTTTTGTTGCTCTCCTGCCTGCTGTAAAATTTAAATTAAAACCATAGTGCGCAAAAATTCATAAAATGTTGGCAACATCAAACGAATTGTGCAATATTTATAGTCCAATATTGCATGGTTAAAACACATAAAAGTATTAAAACTTGGCTTTAAATCTCAAATTATTCCCTATTTATGTCAAAAAATAGCTAAAAATATATTTAAAAGATAAAAGTATATCATACACTGTATAGTTATAATAACATCACGGGACAAACACTGTAAGCAATTGAGGTCAACCAGACACATTCTACTCATCAATTTTTTCTTTATATTTATTCATATTTGATCAGCAAAAATTCTTACATTTTTGGTGCACTCCTAACAAAAAAAAACCATGCGTGTCTTTAAAGTAGAATTGTGAAGGATAAATTACATCAGAATGTGTTCTGTTGTTTCAGTGAAGTTGAGGTGGAATTATTTGAATTTTATTACAATTTTTCAGTGTGTATGTCTGTTGGGGTTTTTTTTTCATTCATAAAAAATTCAAAAGAAAGATAAAAACACATCTGGATTGATAAAATTGAGAAAGACATATTTTAATTATAAAACTGTCAATAATTAAGAAATAAATTATTCAAATAGATCATTATTTATTAAAGAATATTTTAAGTATGAATAGAAATCTTTTCATCATAGAACTTGGAGCTTTATAAAAAAATGTGTTGCACTCCCGACCATAGAAATATAGATCTAAAACACAGACAGACCCTGTACTTGATATATCTAAGTTGTAAAAATGTTCTTTGTGTCTTTATTTTCCAAAATGGATTTCAGAGAATCATATACTGATAAAGGTTTTTCCATGCAAAACAACAAATGTTATACTACTGACATAATTGGGTATGCACAGATACTTGACTCTCATTAATGCTGCTTGTGATTTGTATAGCACTTTAGAGGGTTAAATGGTATACATGTATCAGTTATTGTTTTACACTTTAAAAATTCTATTTTTGGACTTCATTTTCATACAGATTTTTAAAATCAATGGGGTTTTTTGGCAACAGTACATTTTTTCTGTTGCTCTCCTGACATGGTATAATATTTTTTTCAGCATCAGCCATGACCACAATTTGGTCGAACAACAGTCTACATTAAAGCTCAATACTTTGAATTTTAACAGGAAAATTTTTATTTCCAACATAAACCACTACTATTTATTTCAAAGATCTTTCAAAATATATTGAATTTTCAAAATGTTACAAAAAGGTGTTACACTCCTGACATTTTGGCATCATTTTTGGGCATAACTTTTTGTGACTTGAGATATCAATCAGATATTTGGCCGGTATTTAAACAATATCAAAAGACATGCTGAGACGTGGAAATTTATTCCCAATGCCTATTCTTTTAGTGCAGGTTAATAAGTATGTGTCTGGTCATTTTTTAATTTACTCACATGCGTTCCTTGGAATACTACAGTTAATTAATAAATGAGAAAATTAAGTCTATAAAATTATTTCGCAAGAGTAGCGATTCACGAATATCCTTCAGAATTTTTCTGTGTTATAAGATAATGGAACAAGAACTGAGGCTTTCAAAAAAAAAAAAACATTGTAATTCAACAATCTGTGTCCTGTGTTTCCCACGGCGACCAGGATTAGCTGTGTTAGAAGGAGGAGGCACAGGAGAGGCTAGAGTTACTAAAACTAAAAATAAATATCAAACCAGTTAACATTAATGCCTGTTAGCATAGAACCAGAGACATTATTAAGTTACAGGCATAAATGAGTTGTCTTTTCCCTATATTTCATTAAAAGACTTAAAAATCGAAATAAATATCGTCAAATACTAGTACGTCTTGAGTCAAAAATTATTTGTTTGAAAAGAATCGTCAAACTTCTAGACAAATATGAGTAAAACCGCAGGCGAAACATAAGTTGTCTAGAACACTATGGTATCTAAACATATTTTCTTACCAATTTTGCAGGGACCAATAACCACCTATGAAATATGGGGATAACGAACATTATTCAAGTTCCAAATTCCATTCAAACAATATAAATCAGGAGCCAAGCAAACATCAGAGGTGGTATCAGTTGCCATGGAGTTGTGAGCATCCCCAGCCGACCGGTCACACCCGCCGTGTGCTCCTTGTCATGATCGGGAAAAAACATATATATCATAAAACGTAGTTGTTAGGTTAACATTAACGTCTTTTTCGAGTAAATTATCCAAATATGAAACAGATGTGTCAGACCCTGTGGTATTATTTATTTTAAAGCTGACCACGACTCGTAAATAGGTATAGGCCATTTTCGATATTACTATCTACGATAACAGCATCGGGGTATACTCTGCGCATTCTTTACACCTGACTGCTTTATTGTCACGGGTAACGGCGTGGAATGGCGACCCGTGTTCGTGTTGGTTATCTTGCATTACCTTTGTTTACATTTTATTGCAGTTATGTGTATTTAGAAGTGTTTGTTTGTATGCTGCACTGACCAGTGCAACTGTTGTAAGTTTCTTTGATATCTTTCTCCCCTGCATTAGAAGAAGTACACAGTTATATTTTGTCACTACCGAGTGCAGTATAGCATACGTCCGTCTACACCAGTGACGATTGATTACACTGAACAGTGACCAAGTCAGCGGCTTTATATAAGGGCCCTCAGATATAGCGAGAAACCAATCGAATATGGCGGACACATTCCTTTTACGAATCGTGTTCAGCTTTAAGTTCACTGGGATATATCGAGTGACAGTCGACATATAAATAATACATCGTCGATATATCTAAAGTCGAGTTGAAGGCCAGGCAAGTGTTTTCTTCTTTTATATATATATATATATATATATATATATATATATATATATATATATATATATATATATATATATATATATATATATATATATATATATATCATTAAAACTTTGGTTAAACAACCTGTCATGTATACATCTAAATAACTAGATCTTATCTGATATCAGTAACTTATACAAATCTTAAGTCGCTGGTTCAAATATAACATAGGATTGAGGGATGAATATCTTCGGTTAATACAAGTATATAAAAATATTTTTCAAATAAAATTTTAACATACATTTGTATGGTCATTACAATTTTGCACAGATAAGTTTAAGAATTTTTAAGCAATGCCTCAGTCTCCATATTTTCCCATCTTCTGTAACAAATTATCATAAGTACAAGAAAAATCCAATTGCATGTGCACAGAGTTATCCTTTGATAAGAAAGTTTATGAACAGAAAAAATGCTGGTTATGTGTTAAAGACTTGTACATGTAACAGAGTTATTGTCATCTATAAAATGCAGCTGAAAATAATAATTTTAAACAAATATTACCAGCCATAACCTGTCTGTGTTTATTATCGTTAGTTAAAAGGACTGAAATAGCCGGATATTATATTAAAATGTAATTTTATGAAACAAACATCCGTTTCACTTATTGATTTTCCTGGAATTATAGATACTTCATGTATTTTGCATTATGCATAATAATAAACCATGTGCACTTCATGTACTTTGCATTTTGTACTTTTATATGTACATGTCACTTCCTTTTTACATCCTGAATACTAGTAGTTATTATTTCCTCTTGACAAATGCTCGACTTCAACAAATCTTGGCTGTGAGAATTTTCTTTTGAGGGAAGGGTGGATTTTACAAAAAAAAGAATAATGTTCATTTTTGCAACTGTGTATGCAAAAGACCTTATATTATTTAGAGGATAAAAAATGATTTTTAATTAGAGTTCTAACATAATATGAAACTTAAATTTGCATATATGCCATTATTTTGATTTGCAAATACAATGTGGCAAATAATTAAAAATTTCAAAATAACTAGTTCCAAATTTTGTTGTTTTATGAAAGCAACTGACGCGAATTGTATTTAAAATATATTATTATATATCAATTACAGAAGAGACACGCCCTATTCATTATACATGAACCTTGTAATGGTAGCTTGTATGTCTATGCTGTGTGGGTAGAATTTAACAATATAGAAGTTTGTTAATTGTTGTTTCAAAAATTATTGTTCTTAATTATTTTTCCTACAATGTAGATGCCGCGTCTGAAGTATTTGAAAACTTCGCCGATGTAGTTGGATGTAAAATTGTTTTACGATGGAGTTCAGAACGTTATGTTCAGTTTCAAGTAGTAATCAGGAAAAAAGATGACCCGAAATATTCTCTCAGCCTCGTTACCGAAACTAATAATTTCACATATCATGATGCAGAACCAGGTCAGATGTACACAATAACATGGGTACCAGTAGGAGGAAATAACCGTGCGATGTCTGGGATTAAAAAAGAGAAAAGTGTTACAGTTCGCATTGGTAGGTCTTTCCAGAATAGGTTTGTAGATAATTTCCTTGTTTGTTTGTTTTTTTTTTTTTTTTTTTTTTTTTGAACAGGAAGAATTTGAAGGGAAAAATGAATTCTTTGAAGTCAAATTCACAGATCAATGTTTTGCCATAATTGTTAGAAGAAAGTTTTAATTCCAGTTCTCTGTTTGTTCTGTTTTGATTCAATGATACGTGTACTGGAATATACTTTGGAATTTATTGATACTTTGATTATATTTCATTGTCTTATATCTAAAATATATTACTGTGAAATCACTAATTTCGTGGGGGGTGGGTTTAATTTTCGTTGTTTTCGAGGTACGAAGAGTCCCACGAATTCATGTCCACCACGAAATGTAAAATTTCATATACTCAACTACTAAAAAGTTTTTCATCCACGAAATCAAATTCCCACGAACCAATATTTTTTCCTCAAACCACGAAAATTTGACCCTACGAAGATATGTGATTTTACAGTATATAGAAGAGTTTTTAACCGATTGCTTCTCATTCGAATTATGAAATTAATTAACACATGATTTCCTTTTAACATTCAATATAAGTAAATTGTTGATCAACATAATGAAATGAAATTTTATTTTGATACAGATTGTATGATTCAAGCTTCCCCCTCAACACAAAAACTCAGTAAGCAGTATTTTGATTTTTTTTTCTTTTCTTTTGTTGTTGTTTTTGTGTATTGAACCGAGTTATCTCTCGTCTCGATCTTTATCCGTGAAAGTTATATTTTATGCTTTTCTTTTTGTTCTGCACATATTTCGAAATCCATTACGATAAAAAATGCAAAACAGTGAATTTAAACAGATAAATGACTTCATTTATTTATTTAATTTACTCTTACTTATACCAATATATACGTCAAAAACACTCCCACTGGACAATCATTTATTAACATCAAGAACGATAACATCAAAATATTTGGTGTCCACAAAATCAGACCCTCGTATATCCAATGAAGTAAATAATTACTGGAATACATTTTAACAAGGAAGTAAAAAATCCAGAAGATCTGAAATATTAAATTGAAGCTTCTTTAAACAATTCATTGCGTTCTTATCATTTAATACAGGTAATAACAATAGCACTTCTATTCTTCCTGATTGTTTGTCACTTTCAACCACGGTACCATCAAAACATTTAGAGGTTATGCATTCAGACTCCGGTAAGTGTTGACATTTTTGTCCCAAAATCTAGAAAAGTCAGTAATTCCCGAAAAATATATTTCGACATGTGGGGGAGAGGAAGAAAAAATCTAGAACATTTTTATTTTTTTCTAACTACATGTATTTAACTACATGTATTTTATGTTCTCATAAGCGTCTCCATAAAGGTGAAAAATTCTCGAGAGGGACGTTAAACAACATACAAAAAACAAAACGTTCTTATAATATGCTCGTAATACATTAATGCAGGTGATGTCAAGACTATGTTTTCGCTTCCTGATTTTAAAACGGCAAAGAATGAACCTTTCAGTAAAGGTAAATAATCCAGCGACACAAAAAAAGAGTATTTCTGAATTCATCATTTCTTTGATTCTCTCTCTCTCTCTCTCTCTCTCTCTCTCTCTCTCTCTCTCTCTCTTACGGTCTTGTGTTTCAAAAAAAATCTATAGGTACAGGTAAATTATTATTAATTATGGTAAGGATTTAAAGATTAATCAACATCTGCTTTGCTCTTAGGTCTTTTCTATTCCTCCTGACGTCAACCTATTTTTAAGTGATTGCCTCAAATAATTTCATGCAAAATTATCCATTAACACATATCAGGTAAATCATTGATATTTTGCTTAAATTTTGTCAATTCCAAATAAAAAAATAATTCAATATTATTAGGTAATACTTTATTGCATAATGTTTATTTAGAAACTATAATCAGTTATGAAAAAGCAGACCCTCCCCACCCCCCGCCCACCCCGTGGATTCTTTTCAATTTTGCCTGGTTTTATTTGTGAATTAGTTCTTAAAAGGAAAACTTATCTTGAAGATATTCCTTGGATCATTACCTGAGATCTAAGGTCCATTTCTTATTTTCAATTTCTTCTGTCTTAAAGGAAATTTAATACCAAGAATATTAAATTATTTTTTTTACTATTTTATTTATGTAATTTAGGCAAAAAAGTGTCTTTGATATCATCTTGGATTTTTTCTACATTATTCATCCATTGAATTCACTTTCTTAAAGAAGAGGATTGATTGGCCTATATTTTTTATCAAACTTAGCATGAAAAATAATAATTAGGAATATTTACTAGATAAGAACTTTATGTACAGTATTATTTTATTGTGTCGTGATATTTTTTGTTTAGATTTTTGAAGGATCTACTTCTGGACATCTCTTTGTTCGATTCCTGTAATGGCCTGTATTGTGTTAATCACTCTTTACCTCTGTGTTATGAGGAAACCCCGTAGTATGTGCAATTTTTCCTTAAATAATTGAAACTTAAATACTTGCATTTTATTCATCTAAGTAAACTGTTTCTATGGAATCTCGATATGATTGTTTAACCGACGTTTTTTTCTCTTGATAGAGACAATCCAGGATAGTAATGCCTTAACACAGAAAAGGTAAGGTTCCGTGTATTTTTGCTGTTTTTTTCCAAGTTGTACCTAATTTCTACTTTACATATCTACTTACCGGTACTTCTAAGGTCAAACGTCAACGTGAAATCAACATGCTACGCCAATGATGGTGAAAATGAATACAATGAAGTCCAATATTGCCTTGCACAATAAACGGAGAATTAACCAATTTCCGCGATCAAATTTCAACATTTTGTGAACTTGATCTTTACACAGAACTGTACATTTGTGCATGCACTTATGAAATGTGAAACGTTGCAATATTCGATCTTTTCCATTAGTATTGTTTAATTTTCCATTTATATTCTATAATTTTCCATTAGTATTGTATAATTTTTCATTTGTATTGTATAATGTTTATTTGTATTAGATAATTTTTATTTGTATTGTATAATTTTCCATTTGTATTCTATAATTTTCCATGTGTATTGTATAATTTTCCAATTGTATTCTAAAGTTTCCATTTGTAATGTATAATTTTACAATACAAATGGAAAAGTATACAATACAAAAGGAAAATTATGCAATACAAATGAGAAATTATACAATACAAATGGAAATTTTATACAATACAAATTGAAAATTATACAATACAAATAGAAAATTTTAGAAAACAAATAAAAATTATACAATACAAATAAAAAAACATACAATACAAATGGAAAATATATAATACAAATGAAAAATTATAGAATTCAAATAAAAATCATACAATACAAATAAAAAATTATACATTACAATCAAAAATTTTTACAATATTATATAAGTATATTATAATATTATACAACATTGAACGTTTGACATGCCATATGTACTGAATTACAAGAACTCTCCTTTATGGACTCTGATTCTTTATCTTGTTCCAATGCTTTTTATCATTTGATGAAACTCTGTCGCTGAAGTGAATACACGTATATACATTAAATGAATGAGGAAGATGAAGACAGTATGCTTATATTGTTGACACCTCAGCACCAAGAATGTGATTAAACTAACTTATCCAATAATATATTTTACCTTGTGCTGTGTAATGTGATAAACAACTTTCACTCATAAAAATGACTCCATGCAGGAAAATTACTTTTAATATTTAGTTTAAATGATTACAACTGTAATTTAGATATTTATAACTATATAAGAAAATGATGGATTAAACGTAGAGAATCGCCTATGTTTCACACACTTGATTTTGTTAAAGTTAATATAACATTATAATAAACAGTTACATTTTATTTACTCTTTAACGTCTTTCACCTTTTGTAAAGAAAAAAATATGCATCTATTGGAAACTAACAAATCAAAATTCAATTGATGTGAACAAAGAATTTCTCTGTAGATTGCCTAGTACCGTGAAGGAATTAACTTCTCCATAACAAATTATACAAGTTATCTACATGTGTTTTCATTTCTTTTTTATGTACTGTGTAATGTTAAACAGATTTCGATCATTGGTCATTACTGGAGAGTAAAATATACATACCAGGCCAACATACTTTTTTCAATAAGTAAGTGAGCATACTGGACTCCCTCCCTCCTTAACCTTTCGAAACACCTGCAGCCACTAAAATATCTACACAACACCGTCTAACAAATGTTTTTGTTAGTCACAAAAAGATCTGGGGTCAGAACAGTCTTGCGCGAATATCATGTGTTATGCCCTGTTCACACGGAGAGTTTAATTCGTACTAAATTAATGCGAAGTAAAATGATGCAAATTAAAATAATGCGAATTAAATTGCGTTCACACGACAGCTAATGCGAAGTAAACTAATGCGAATTATAAATTTCTACAACAAGACTATTCAGTGAGGCTATTATGACGTCATTTACAAATCACGTCACATTGTGCCGAGCAGATACATTTGACATAATGTCATAGTGTCAGTGTCTGTACACATTTTAGTGATTAACATAATTTTCCTTTGTTTTCCACTCAAAAATAGCATAAGTACCTATATTTGACCATCGACATGTGGCCTGTGACTTAATTCTGCACTTACGTATGCGTCAAAATTTAATTCGAATTAGCTTCGCTTAGCGTTCACACGGAGCTAATGCGAAATAATTTAATGCGCAGTAAACTAATTCGAATTAAACTAATTCGCATTAAATTCTCCGTGTGAACACGGATCAAATTTAATTCGCAGTAACTCACGTTTAATTCGAATTAAACTCTCCGTGTGAACAGGGCATTAAATTTCTGTAAAACATACCCCAAAGATTTTCATCCTAGGACAGGTGATTTATCACTAGTAACAAAACCATCATCTGTACTTCCATACCAATCTAACGACTCATTATCTGTATAACTATATATATATATATATATATATACATTCTTTCGATGCCGATGGAATTCTCGCAGCGCCGCCCTATATATATATATATATATATATATATATATATATATATATATATATATATATATATATATATATATATATATATATATATATATATATATATATATATATATATATATATATATATATATATATATATATATATATATAATGTACGCCGTAATATGGCAAATTTGGAGGAATTGGGCATAGGAAATAAATAAACTTTGTTATAATTCCTAGACCAAACCAGATGGTTAACTTTTTTGAAATTTCACGAATTGGTGCCTTTTTACAATAATTTTCATGTATTTGAATGAAAAGGAAATCTCTAGGGCAGAAATACAAAAAAATGGGGAAAATGTTTGTTTTCCAACAAAATTTGTTTTCCAACAAATTCCCTTAGGGTCCAATAGTAAAATTTGACAACTTTTGAGATGGCCCCGTAAGAAATCGGGATGGTAAACATTTGATTTTTTAATCTTAAAAAAAATTAGTATTATAGTAAAAATTCATTTAAGAAATTTTATCAAAATATAATATCTAGGGTAGAAGTAATTAGACTCGGCCTTGTTAAACTAATAAAGATATATCTGCCCTAAGTGAAGAAATATTAATATAGAAAGCACAAAGAAATTCACTTTCTATAAGGATACACACTTCCGCCACGACTCGGGGCTTGGGGTGAATTACATTTTAAAGTAATGCATTACATTACCGTTACTTTAGTAAAGTAATGCCTTACAATAGAAATAAAAAAAAATTGTGCTTTTCATAAACATGCACATCCCATCAAAACTAAATGATGAATGTTAATTTAAAGGATGACTGCACTTAAGGACATGCGAAAATTGCGGCAAAATAAACTTTCGAAACAAGCATTTTTCTTTTAATTGAAGGAATGGTCAACATCTTTTCTACAACTTAAAGTAATCACATTAATAAAAAATATGTTTTTACAAAGTACGAAGCTATTTTCATCACTATTTCTTGAATCTCCGAACGATAATGAGGACGCCCACTTTTTCACTGACTTTACACACAGTCAGCGAATGTTTGTCTATTGTTCTCCGTTTAACAGTAGTTGTATATTTGCATTAATGATGTTGTGTCAAAATGAGATTGATAGAAAACATTAATTAGTGGAAGTATTTTTTAAAAGTACTTTCTTAAAAACTCTTTCAAATATTCTCGGAAATTAAATATTATCTAAAATAAGTATGAAAATTTTAATGTG